GGGCCTGGTGCTGCTTCGGGGCCTGGACCAGGGCCTGGTGCTGCTTCAGCACCTGGACAAGCTCTGGGGCCTGGGCCAGGAGCTGGGTCAGTACCTGGTTCAGGAGCTGCACCTTTATCTGGGTCAGGGGTAGGGCCCGGGCCCAGACGGGAATCAGGGGCTGGGCAGAAACCCAGTGAGCCAGTGACAGCCCCAGTGCCAGTACTGCAGCAGAAGACTCAGGCCACACCTGTGCAGGCCTCTAAGCAGAAGGTTCTGGTGACTGGAGGAGGAGGCTACCTGGGCTTCAGCCTGGGTTCCAGCCTGGCCAAGAGCGGCACTTCTGTCATCCTGCTCGACCTCCGCAGACCCCAGTGGGTGCTGTGCCCGGGGACCGAGTTCATCCAGGTGCAGTGATGGCGGGGGGCAGGCTGGTGGTGGAGGTCAGGGGATGGTGTCTGATGTGTAACCAGTGCCTGGCGTTGAAGAGCACAGGCTTCGGAGTCAGACTGTTTAAGCTCCAACTCCAGCTCCCAGCTGGGCAGCCTTGGCCACAGGGTCCCGCACCTCTGAGCCTCACGTCTTCATCCACAGAAAGGGGACACTAACAATATGTGCTTCGCAAGGGCCTCGTGGGGAGTTGAGAAGACAGTGCATGTAAAGCACTGAGCACAGCCCCTGTGACTCAGCTCCATACATGGGGCCGATGATGGTGAAGACGCCCAGTGGGATCATCTAGTAAATCCTGCCCCACAGCCTGTCTGGGCCCTGCAGGTGCTGGGCCTGGGGTGGGGAGAGGGGCCCGGCCCCGAGACCTGGCACAGCTGTTACCTCGGATTGCCTTGGACCCAGACCTCCTACCTCCGTGTATTCCTTCTCTGTTTCAGGCTGATGTCCGCGATGCAGAAGCCCTGCACCGCGCCTTCGAAGGCGTGGACTGTGTATTCCACATGGCCTCCTGCGGAATGTCTGGTGCCGAGCAGGTGAGCGCCTCACACGCAAGGCTTAGGCCCCGGCTCCGCCCGCCCCCTGCATGCCCGGTGTTCATCAGGCTCCTCGCCTACTCCAGGGAGGATTTGGGCTACACCCATGGGACAAAATGCCAGTTCTGCCGTTTTCTAGCTGCGTGGCTAGGAAAGTTAACCTCTTCGAGCCTCTGTTTCTTCACCTGTAGAGTGAGGGCACTACTAGTACTTATGTCACGACCTCCCCGGAGAGCCGTATAACAGTATCTATCAAAGCACGCAATACCCTTTGACTCAGAAACTACACTTACTTATGTATTTGTAGCGTTGTTTTTAATAACAAAACAGGAAATAACTGAAATGTCCATCTGTTGGAGATTATTTAAATAAATTGTGATATAGCTAAACGATGAAATTCTAGGCAGCCATTCAAAAGAATGAGGTAACTCGATATGTACTGATAACAGAACAATTTCCAAGGTACAAAAACAGTGTTTGACACTGTTTTTTTTTTTTTAAAAAAGAGCTATATACTCACACATTGTGTGCGCTGATATTAATGTGTCAATTATCTCTAGAGATACAGAGACTGGTAACAGTCTGGGGAGGGAAAAGGGAGACTTGGAATCAGGATTGGGAGGGAAATTTCCTCTTCACTGCATTCTTGTTTTACTGTTTGAGTTATTTTTAACCTTGTGACTGTATTACCTATTGAAAACAACCACAACAAGAATAAATATAGTTTGAAAATCAATAGGGAACCCGCCTCTCATGTGGTTGTAGGGATTAAATGAGATGTAAAGGCTTCGCCCAATCCCTGGCGCACAAGCAGCTCTCACTGTAGCCCAGTTGTTTTTATTTTTCAAAGCCCGGCCCTCTCACTTGGGTAGGGACAGTATTACTTGTCCGTCTTATGGATAAGGAAGCTGAGACTTCTAGAGCCAGGAAACAATCCAACACATCTGAGGCTCTTTTCTGTGTCAAGCCCTGTACCATGTCCTCTCATGGGGCTTATTAAACCCTGCTGACCACCCAAGGGGGTCTTCCCTCATTTCATAGATGACGGAGCTGATGGCCAGAGTGGGGGGTAGAACCTCCCCTGTGGCCCAGGCATATGGGGACGGAAAAGGGCACGAGAGCCCAGGGCCCCCGCACTGCCCATGGGCCCCTCGGGATCCCTGCCTCTGAGCTGCAGCCCCCCGCCCTGCCACCCAAGCCCAGCCTCATGGCCTCAGCTACAAGGCATGAGACAGCACCCCGACTCTCCCACCTCCATCTTGTCTTTTAGCTGCAAAAAGAGCAGATTGAGTCTATAAATGTTGGAGGCACCAAACTAGTGATTGATGGTAGGCGCTCAGAGCAGAGTGTGACCTGCTGTGTGTTTGTGCTTCTCTCCCCACCCCTGCGCAGGCCCGGCTCTGGGGGACAGGGCAGGGGGACAAAGGTGGGAGTCTCCCCCCGATCCCCGCCCTCCCCAGTAGAGGGCCTGTGGGCAGCACATCTTTCCTGTTCTGCAGGCCTGCCCAGGCCCTGGCATGGGGCTCAGCGTGGCCTCAGTGTGTCTGGGGACACGGGGAGTGGAGTTTGCACAGAGGGATTAGGGGTTGCGGGCGAGAAAAGTTGCTGAAGCACCAAATTAGAAAACTCACACCTGGGCTCTCTGGGCATGTCCTGCCTTGTCCTGCATTTTTCTCTCTGATTCTAGAGTGTGTTTTCCCTATGTCCCCACTGAGTGAGACTTTCTTCTGACCTGTCCCTGGCAAGGTAGCTAAAGGGCCGCAGCCACACTGAGAAGGAAGAATGAGCCAGCCCGGCCCCCAAGGGCCCAGGGAGCGGGGACTTGACCCCTCCCCAAGTTAAGGGAAGGAGGCTCTTCTGTCCCGAGCCAGGATGTGTGCAGGAGGCTGGGTGGAAGATTCGCCCAAGGAGGTCCCCATGGGTTCCTCCTCAACCAGCTCCCTGCTCACATCAACTGTGTATGTGTGTGTGTGTGTGTGTGTGTGTGTGTGTGTGTGTTGCCGTGTGACCTGTCACTGTAGTTTGTGTCCACCGGCGGGTTCCAAGGCTTGTCTACACCAGCACCGTCAATGTCGCATTCGGCGGGAAGCCCATAGAACAGGGCGATGAGGACTCTGTGCCATATTTCCCACTGGAGAAGGTACCTGGCTTCCAGGAGAGGTGGGCGGGGCCAATGGACTTGGAACCCACAGTCCAAAGGGTAGGGATGGGCGGAGCCAGGGTCAATTTCACAATTCAGGGTAAGACCCAGGAAGAAAGGGTCCCCAAAACGGCGTGGCGCAAAAGCCTTCTCCTATATTGGCTGGTCGTGCCAGTAGGAGCTTTGAAATCACATAGACCTGGCCTTGAACCAGCAAAGCCACTTTCTACTGTGGAACCCTGAGCAAACCACTTCACTTGGAGGCTCTCCTTCTTCGTCTGGGTGTGATAGCACCACCCTATGGGGACGTGGAGACCAGGAAATGAGTTGATGTATGTGAAAATGCCCCGTGAGCACTAAAGGACTCCATGTGAACAATCCATCAACTCACGTCCAGCATTCACATCCCAGAGCAGGCATTGTGGCTTGCAGGAGCCTCCCTGAATCAGGGAGCCCCTGGTCGTTTTTACTGCTCTGAACTCTCTCCTCTGTTCCTGTGGCTCCCGCCCAGAGGGAGAGGAAGGGGAGTGGGGCTCAGGGCCTGGCCATTTCCCAGTGGGGGTCCCAGAAGTGAACCCCCATGTGGTCTGAAGCAGAGGTACAGCCCTGGGGCCAGGAGGGCTGGGTGGGCCGGGCAGGTGTGGCCAGCAGTGTCTCTGACCCCCGTTCGGTGGCTCTGTACTTCCTGTTCTCTGATAGCACGTGGACCACTACTCCCGAACCAAAGCCATTGCTGACCAGTTGATCCTCATGGCCAACGGGACGCCTCTCCCAGGTGAGTACTGGGAGGCCCTGCTCACAGCCAACGTGCATGCCCACTGCTCCCTCCCTGAAGCACATGTGCGATTCTAGCTCATAGCTGGTATGTTCCCAGCTTCCTTCCAAAGAACACTTCCCCAGGGCCTTGGACATTCGTCATCCAACAAATTCTGGGCACCCACACTCCACCAGGGATACAGCCTGGAAAACGTCAGGCCCAATCTCTGCCCTCACATTGTTCATGTCCTGGTGGGGAGACACTTGAGCTAGTCCACGTCTAGCTCTCTTTTCTGCCATATAGGAGGGCATCCAGTTTTGGGGACCCTCTTTATAAGAGTACAAACTTATGAATATGCATGAAATATAGCGCTTTGGAAGGGCTGTGCAAGTGAGGAGCCCTTCAGTAACTCCCAGAAAAATTGGCCTTGGCTGCCTTACTGGATCGCCTCTTCTTACTGTATTGTGATAGAGAAATAATAGTAGATTAAGGACAGGTGGCAGCATGGCACAGTGGCTAAGCACCCACGTACTGGCATCAGACTGAAATGAGTTCAAATCCAAGCTCCACCGCCTCTCAGCTATGTGATCTTGGGCAATGCACTTACCCTCTCCCAGCCTCAGATTCCTCACCTATGAAACAATGGATAGTGGAATTTACCTCAAAGAGCTTGAGTGAGAATAAAATAATGATGGGCGCTGTTAAAAAAAAAACAACAACACTAACATGGACATTTTGTGTTTATTGAGTGCTTACTACATGCCAAGCCCTATTTTACACGCTGATTTTACCTGCAAAAGTCTCAATAACTCTTCATAGCATCCATATGAGGTAAGAACCTTAGCTACCCCTTGCTTTCCAAACTCAGGAGTCAAATATCAATAGATTCAGATAAATTCCTGCTATCTAAATTATCATTATTTGCTTTCTGAAATTCAGAAACTAAAAAGAAACAGAAAACCTGGTTTCCCTCACCGTCTAAACTCAGGAGCCAAGTGGATTTGGAGAGCGAAGCTTGTTTGAAATTATAATCCCCAATTTTACAGGAGAGAAAACTGAGGCTAAGAGGTTAACTGACTTAGCTCAAGGCCACATAGCTCTTAGGTGGCAGAGGTGGGATTTGAAAACCCCCTCTCCCCCTAGGGGAGTCTAAAACCAGAGCCTGGGGCTTAACCATTGTGCTCCACTGTAGCTATGGCTGAGTAAGTCTCTGAGCATGAACTCTTTTCCCTAAAAGCCTCCCCACCCCACCCTCTCACCCTGGGCCTGTCAAGCCTCAACCCCTTATCCCAGTGGGAACATCCATCTGTGTTTCCCAGGAGTTTGACCCTCGGCAGTTGAATTCTCTTCTCTACCAGGGCCTCCCCTGGCTGGACCAGCAGCCTACAAGCCAGACACCTAATCCTCTGGCTGAGAATTATTTATACAAGCATCCCCAGCTTTCCATGGTCAGGAGAGTCATGGATACCCTGGGCGCAGTCCCTCTGTGACGTGGCCACCCAGTGCCCCACTGGCCAGTGTCAGCTGTAGCCCAACCAAACTCCCCCCACCATGCCCAGGTGACCCAGAGTTTAAAATTAGCTGCAGGCTGTTTACAGAAAAGCTCACCTGATACCTGCCTTGCAGGAGCCCAGCCACGTCACCCTGGGTGATTTCCAGTCCCTACTACCCAAGCTGGTCCCTGAGACTCTGCCTCTAACCTGGCATGGAGCACCCTGGTCCCTGTAGCAGAGTCCTGAGGCATGCAGACCCCAGCTCCATGTGAATGTGTTGTGTCCTCCTGTCTCTGGGTTCATTAGTGTCCTGGGGCCGCTGGCACAAATTACCACAAACCTGGTGGCTTAAAACAACAGAAATTTCTTCTCTCGCAGTTCCCACAGTTCGCAGTCAGATGTCTGAAATCAAAGTGTCATTTGGGCTGCGATCCCTCCAAAAGTGCGAGGGGAGAATCTTTCCTTGACTCTTCCAGCTTCTGATGGCCCCAGAAGCTTGGGGTCCTTCTTTGGTGTGTGGCTGCATCGCTCCAGTCTCCTCCTCTGTCTTCACATGGCCTCTCCTCTTCTCCATTTGTCTCTTCTCTGTGAGTCTCTTATAAGGATACCTGACATTGGATTTAGGGCTTGCCCGGATAATCCAGGATCATCTCATTTTTAGGTCCTTAATTACATCCTCAAAGGCCCCTTTTCCAAATAAAGTAGCATCCACGGGTTCCAGGACACCGGCATATCTTTTGGGGGCCACTGTTCAACCCAATACACTGGGCCTCATTGTAAAGTGAGGGTTTTGGTGGGGGAGCAGTCAGGGTGTTTGGCTATGACCCGGAAACACTGACCCTGGCTAATTTATGGAGAAAATGGAATTTATACTGGGATAGCCTCTGGAAAATATATTCCAGAAAAATGACCACCAGGGCTTAGAAAGGACAGGGTCAGGGCAGTTCCAGGGTCCTGGGAGACAGGAGCTGGTGATCAGTCTCTCAGGGTGAACCCACTCCTGTGATTTTCAATCCCGTGTCAGTGATGCACAGAGTCACATTCCTGGGTGAGAACATGGCATTGGCCCAGCCTGGGTCCCGTGGCTGCCATCTCAGGGAAGAGAGGTGCATCTAGACTGACAGTCCCCCGCTAGACCTGGTGCAAAGGGGAAGGGGCCCCCAAAGGAAGGTGGGCTTCCGGTCCCAGAGGATGGCATACACTAGGCTCCCCAAACTGGAGGCACAGCCTCTTGGGAAACCTGAGCCTTGGAGGAGTGAAACATCTTCCAGGAGACTCCATCTCAGTTAAGGAGTTGGGGTTAGGGATCGAATAATTTACAAATAGTAATTTTTAAAAATTTTAATCTTAAACACAAATGAATTATGAGAATAAATTGAAAAATTTGTAGGCCCTCTTAAGACTTAAAAAGAATATGTTTGGAGCAGCCCTTCAGGCTGTACCCCCAGACTTCCCCTGGGGAGACATGCTCCCACTTCCACCAGTGGGGGCCCCTCAGCAGAGAATTTGGGAAGCCCTGGACCAAACTTTGTCTTGGTCTGGGGACTCTGCTGGCACAGAGCTGTGAGAGTTAGGGGAACAGACCCCCAGCTCTCATGCTGATGGCTCTAGTCTTTTCATTTCTCCATTGGTTGTCTGGAAAGTATAACTGCTACCACCAGTTACAAAGCACCCATTTTCCAGGTGAGGAGACCCAGGCTGAGAGAGCTGAGGGCCTATTTGTTAGTACTGTATCACCAGAGGTATTAGTGGACAGTGCCTGGACTTTGGTCCCCATCTCAGCTCCGCAAGGCTGAGCTGTGTGCCCTTAGGCAAATCACATCCCTTCTCTGAGCCTTGGTTCTTTTATCCATAAAACAGGAATAATAACAGCTCCCACCTCATAGGGCTGCTTTGAGGAAAAAATTCCAGGCTTACCAGAGCACCAGACACATAGTAGGACCTCTCTGAGAGCCATCGTGATCCTTATCTGATGACCAGAAAAAGTAAAGTACTATAGCTATTGGCATGAGGACATGTGGGTCTGTGCGCGTCTGTAAAATGGACACAGTAGGACTCTGGGAGTTGAAAGAGATCATGTCTGTCAAGTGCTGGTTAAACTCTCACGGGCCATGCAGATACCTGCATCTAGGTCTTGCCTCTGTTACTGGCCTGAGAGCATTGTGAGGACAGGGACCATTTCTTGGTCATCCTTGGATTCTTCACAGCATCCATCCCAGGGCCCAGTGCTGAGGGCGGTGGAGGTGGGGAATGATTCTGAACAGTGTTTGTTGAATGACTGACTGAGAGAATAATTAATTGAATGAGGAAACCCCAAGGCCCTGCCTTCCCCACTAACCTTTCCAGGTAAGAACCAGGAGATGTGGACGGCCTTTCTGTCCCTCTCCCTGCTCATCCGCCCCTCCCCAGGCCCCTGACCGCCCTTCCCTGTGTTGTAGGAGGAGGCGCTCTGCGGACATGTGTGCTCCGGCCCCCAGGGATCTACGGCCCCGAAGAGCAGAGGCACCTGCCCCGCGTGGCGGTATGTTGTCCCAGCCCCAGGCCGGAGGCACAGGAGGAGCCTGGCTGATACGTGTGTGAATGGGGACCCACGGTCACCGCGTCAGTCTTAGGGCAGTGTCCCGAGCGGGGGGCCCTCGGTTCTGGGAGAAGTCCTGCCCCCATGAGGCCCACCAGGAACAGAGCTCTCAGGGTGCGCCAGCCAGGCCTGGGTACCGGTAGAGGAGACATGGAGCTATGACCCCAAAGAAGCAGAGGAAACTATTGTCCTGCTCAGATGTGAGCTCCATAAGGGCCAGATGGCTCATCTCATGCTGCCAGCACCAGGCTTTTCACGCAGAAAACCTGTCTCCAGAGAAGGCTGGTTGCCAGGGATATAGCTACAGGGGGCTCTAGATCCTGTCCTCAAATTTCTCACAGCCTAGTCAGGGAGACAGACTCCACAGTCACAGATTCAGGGTGGTAAGGGCTGTGTAGAGGTGAGAGGGAGAAGATGGGAGCACAGCAGAGAGGGCCTGGCAGGGGAGGTCCAGGAGGGCTTCCTGGAGGAAGTGATGGCTGTGCTGTTTGGATACAGAAGGAGCTAACCAAGGAAATGGGGTGGTAGAGAGAAAGTGGTCCAAATAGAGGAGACAGCTTGGGCACAAAGCTGGAAATGAAAAACTGTTCCAGGTTTGGGGACAGGTCAGTGAACAAAACAGATGATTCCCGCCCCTGTGGGGTTTATATTCTCACAGGAGGAGAGAGAGAGAATAAACATGATACAATACAAGGAACGTTTGAAGGTGCCAGGGACTATGGAGAAAGAGGAAAAGTGGAGTGGGGTTGGGGGAAGCTGGGGGTGCCGGCAGTCGGGGAGCCTCTTCAAGCAGGGATATTGAGCAACTTGAAGGAGGTGACCAGGTGCATCACACAGCTATCTGGAGGAAGAGCCTTCCAGACAGAGGGAACGGCTAGTCCGAAGCCCTGAGGTGGGGCCCTGCTGGCACGTTCCAGGGAGGAGGCCGAGTAGCTCGTGCAGAGTGAGCAAAAGAGTCGGTGGGAGACACGTCAGAGAGTAGCTGGGGCCAGAGCAGAAGGGCCTCCTCTGCCACCCGCGCCCGGAAGTTTCTGAGCAGAAGAGACACGATCTGACTTAGGATTCAAAAGGATCCCCCAGCTGGACGAACAGGCCACAGCGGCGGGGGGTGGAAGCAGGGGACCAGTTAGGAGGCTCTTTCAGTGTCCAGGTGAGAGATGAGGGCGGAAGTCAGTACAGTGAGGAGTGGCCGAATTCTGGACAGATTGTAATGGCTGAGACGACTGGGTTTGCAGACGGGTTGGGTGTGGAGAGTGAGGGAGGGGACAGCCAAAGCTGGCTGCAGGCTTTAGGCCTGAGCCCTGGGTGCTGTGGGCTGAGGGGGTGGGGAGGGGCGGCCAAATGGGGATAAGGCGCTCACAGGACAGGACAAGTCTGCCTTGTCTATCGGGCAGCCAAGTGGAGCCTTCCGGAAGGCATGTGGGGCTGGGACAGAGGAGTCTGGCCTGGGAGCCTTCTGCATGTAGATGGAATTTAAAGCCACTCCAGGCTAGGTCTGTGTTTCTCGCCCTCTCCCCCCACCACCAGAGCCACATCAAGAAGAGACTGTTCATGTTCCGATTTGGGGACCGCAGGACGAGGATGAACTGGGTCCACGTGTGCAACCTGGTGCAGGCACACGTGCTAGCAGCCGAGGCTCTCACCGCCACCAAGGGCTACGTGGCCGTGAGTCTCCTGCAGTGCTCCCCCGACCTTACCCCTCGGGCTGCAGGCGGGTCCCCCATCCCTTGGGGATTCCTGGCTCACACACAACATAGCTCCCCAATTCAAGCTGCCTGATGGGGTGGGGGGAAAGTGGCCTTTTAGAGCATCGTTAGCTCCTTGAAATGACCCTGTGAGGTAGGTGTTGTTGAGCCCAGAATTTCAGTCACCGAATGCTAAATGTTTTACGTGTATTGTCACCTGCACCTTTACAACAGCCCAAGGGGGAGATGCCATTATTATGCTCCCATTTCTCAGATGCAGAAACTGAGGTACAGAGAGGTTAAGTGACTCCACTGAGGTCATACAGCTAGTCAGTTGGCAGCCCCGGAACTCAAAGGGACTTGCTCAGGTCCGTCTCCAGGGCTGCTGAGGAGAAGTGGGGAGTTGGGGCAGCTGCTGGGAGCCATCGGAGAGGGTGGAGTCAGGCAGCAGGCATGTGCCTGACCATCCCCCTCCCCATGTGTCCCCCTCAGAGTGGGCAGGCGTACTACATCAATGACGGGGAGAGCGTCAACATCTTCGAGTGGATGGCCCCACTGGTAGGTGCCCGAACACCACCCCCATCCCAAGTGAGAATTCAGGGATCCCCATGTCTTCTTTCCCTGTCACCTTTTCCCAAAAAATCAGAGGATTTCACATTAAAAACCAGCTCTGGCAACAGTGTCCACTGGGCAACATTGGAACTGGCTGGAGCTGGGTGGTGGCTGCCCCTTTGGGGCGCTGTGCTCTCCCCCAGTTTGTCATAGTCCCTCCCAGCCCACTTCCTCATTTATGTCGATGTCCTGCCCTGTGGGATTTTGCTTGTGGCCCCCGTACTATGTGGTGAGGCCCTGAAAGAGGTAAGTAGGAGGTAGGCAGAGCACAAAGGGAGGTGTTGGCCCTCGGGCCCCTACGCTGCAGCCCCTCTGAGAGTCCTGGCCTCCTCTCGCAGCAGCCTACAGACTCCTGGAAGGGGCAGACCAGAAACCCCGCGCTGGAGGATACATCCTGGGGGCATTCAGGCCCTTTGCATGTCAACTTTTAACAGCTTTATTGAGATATAATTTATAGACCATACAGTTCACCTGTTGAAAGCGTACAAGTTGATGGTTTTTAGTATGAGTTGTGCGACCATCAGCAAAACACATTTTAGAACATTCTGTCACCTTCCCAGAAAAGAACCTCCCCAAACCATACCTTTTAGCTGTCACTTCTATTTACCTCTCACCCCACCCCACCCCTAGCCATAGGCAACCACTAAGCTACTTCCTGCTTTCTGTAGATTTGCCTGTTCTGGACATTTCCTATGAATGGAATCATACAGTATGTGGGCTTTGTGTTAAGTGTCTTTCATTTAGCATGTTTTCAAGGTTCATCCATGTTGTGGATGTGTCATACAAGTACTTCATTCTCTTTTATTGCCAAAAAGATATTTCATTCAATCGCTGTGCCACATTTTGTTAATCCATTCATCAATTGATAGAAATTTGGGTTTTCCATTTTGGGCCTGTTATCAGTAATGCTGTATGAACATTCGTGTGTAAATAGTTGTGTGGACATATTTTCTCATTTCTGTTGGGTATATACCTAGGAGTGGAATTGCTGGATCATACAGTAACTCTATGTTTAACCTTTTGAGTTACTGCCAGACTGTTTTCCAAAATGGCTGCACTATTTTACCTTCCCACCAGCAGTGTAAGAGGGTTCCAGTTTCTCCACATCCTGTCAACACTTGTTATTATCTGTCTTTTTGACCTGGAGGGTTTTCATACAAGTGAAGACCTCAGTTCATCCTATGCCAGCCCATCTCTTCATGCTTCTCCCACCACCCTCCACACGTATGCTTTTTTTTTAAAATTTAATAGCAGAAAAGCAGATTCTAGAAAATAATCAGATTCTATATAAGTGCCTTAGAGTGTCTTTGGGTGTACACAGATGTAAAAAATAACTAAATGATGGGACTGCACCCCACGCAGTCAGTTCCTACTTAGTTTTCCAGGTCACAGTGCGGGCTTCATTTAAAGACTGGTGTAAACTTGGGGCTGGCTGTGGGGTCTGCCCCCTTTGGTGGGCAGCTGAGGAGGGGCCAGGAGGTGCTCTGCTGGCCCTGGGGTAAAGGCAACACGTGGCCTATACCAGCCCCCCAAGGATCTGTTCTCACCTCAAGCCATGTTTCCTTGCAGTTTGAGAAGCTGGGGTACAGCAAGCCCTGGATCCAGGTTCCTACTTCCTGGGTTTACCTGTCAGGTGAGGAAAGGAGTTTGTATGTGAAAACCCTCCATGTGCCAGGTGTACATGCATTACCTCATTTTAAACCCAGAGCCAGGACCTGGCTGAGGCGAGTGGGGCACTGAGAGCACAAAATGTAAGGAAACCTTCACTCGTAGGAGTCAAATGCTCCAAGCCCCATCTGCACTTGCCCAGCCCTGAGAGCAAGTGCCTCCTTAAATTTTGCACTCGAGGCACCTCACTCCCCTCACCCTAGTCCTGGCCCTGTTTAAACCCTATCCCACTCGCCAGGTGGGTGGGGTTAGGCCCATTGTAAAGATGAGGCAACTGAGGCTCTGAGAGGTTAGCAACCTGCCCGTGGTGCCCCAGTGAGAAAGCGGGAGAGGCAGAATTCCCACTGCATTCCAGTCCTGCTGCCTGTGCTGGAATGCCCCATCCCCCAAGGTCGCCCTGGAGTTAAGGCTGCTTTTGGACATGTGAGGGTTCTGTTTGACCCTAGAGTCTCCTCCTCACCCTGAAGGTCAGTCTCCACTCTCACGCCCCGGCTTCCCTATGCTGGCCTCCTTCCAGCTGGAATGAGCACGGGCTTCAGGCTTGGAGTGATCAGCCCGAAGGGGCAGGTGGCCCCCAAGTCACAGATAACTGTGTTCCTGGAAAACCTCAGCTGGATCTTTAAATGTATTGGGGGACTTCCCTGGTGGTCCGGTGGTTAAGACTCCGCATTTCCGATGCAGAGGATGTGGGATCGATCCCTGGTCTGGGAACTAAGATCCCACGTGCTGCACAGCGCAGCCAAAAAAAACAATAAGGCATTGGGATGCCCGCCATTTAAAGCAGGGGTCTGCACATTTTTGTCCCCCAGGGTGCCCACACAGGATGACTTCCCCTGCACAGCATCACCACCAGGATTGACACTCCTTGACCCCCAGCTGAGAAGAGTTCAACCGCAGGTCCTGGCGGTTTTGGAGACTGTCTATAAATTCCCAATTCCCAGTGAGCTGACTGTAAACTCAGTGCTTCTTAACTTTGGCTGCACAGTGGAATCACCTGGGAGCTTTTAAAAATGCCTCAGCCACACCCCCAGACCAATTACCCCAGCATCCGCAGGAAGCAAGGGGGTGGGGGAAGAAGGAACATTTTAAAAAGTGGTCCGAAGTGCAGCCCGGGCTGAGCTGAACCACCGTTCCCACTTCTTTCTCCCTGACTCAAGAGAGCACATCGGGATAGAAGTGCGTGAGAGAGACGTGACTGTAGAGATCACTTTGAATCTGCTCAGATTTATTTTAAAATGTCAGTCTTTTAATATTAATAATAACTTACTTGTGACATATTTCACAGCCAAACAAGGCACCCCAGGGTGTGCGGAGACTGCTGATTTAAAGGAATCCAAGGACAGGAAAACTTGGCAAAGTGAAGATTCCCCCTAGCAAAGCAAATAATGCCCCCAACTGACTTGTCTCTGACGACCTCCCTGGAGTTTGCCTAGAGCAGGCCCCCTGGTCACTGGTCCCTCTCTCCCCACACAGCCACGGTGATGGAGTATTTGCACCTGGCCCTGAAGCCCATCTGCAGCCTCCCGCCGCTGCTCACCCGGAGTGAGGTAAGTGGTCTGCTGTGAGGGGAGCCCCTGTGTCCTGGTGCCCCTCACTTGCCTTCCTGCCCCTTCTCCACTGCCACAAACCCTCACCTTTTGACACCGTAACTGGATGCTTGTCTGAGGTCTGAGAACCTACCACGTGGGCTCAAATCTAGGGCCACCTCCTGTATAACATCCCAACCTCTGAGCTTCTGCTGAGGCTGTGCTCTCTTGGTCTGAAGGGCAACAGCTCCAAGCCCATCCTTTTTTTTTTTTTTTTTTTTGTGGTACGCGGGCCTCTCACTGCTGTGGCCTCTCCCGTTGCGGAGCACAGGCTCTGGACGCGCAGGCTCAGCGGCCATGGCTCACGGGCCCAGCTGCTCCGCGGCATGTGGGATCTTCCCGGACCGGGGCACGAACCCGTGTCCCCTGCATCGGCAGGCGGACTCTCAACCACTGTGCTACCAGGGAAGCCCAAGCCCATCCTTTATCACTGTCATTTCATTCATAAGCAGTTTGTCTTCCCAGCCAGACTGGAGGCTCCCAAAGGCAGGTTCCATGAAATTCACTTTTTGGAATGTCACTACTCCCAATAACCGTCAATACACACACACACACACACACACACACACACACACACACACACAGCCTGTTGATTCGAGGCTCACAGTTCCTGCTCACTGAATAATAAGTATATATTAAGTACCTACTGTGTTAAGAACACTGTTCTCAAATAATGATGATGCAGTTTTCTATTTGTATATACAGTTTAAAAGAGAGGGTGTTTTAATGCAGGTTGTAAACAGTAAAGCAACAAGTGGTGTTTGGTGTTATTTGCAAAATCCTTCCAGTCCACTCTCTCATTTGATTGTCCCTGATGCTCTGTTAAGTTAGGAGGGGAAAAAAGATTATGATCTCATTTAATGGTGAGAAACTGAGCACTAGAGAAATAAGTGATTTGTCCAAGCTCCCACCATTCTGGAATTGGCTTCACATTCCAAGCTCAGTGCTCTCCACCTCAGAGAATCGAGAATGGGCCACAGAAAGAAGCAGTTCCCTATGGTCTCTCCTTTGAACTAGCAGAGGAAAGAGAATAGTAAAAATAGGGACCATCTATAGAGTGTGAAATGCCAAGCACTGTGTTTATCTCATTTAATCTTCACAACTACTATAGACTGTGGATTCTGTTATTATCACCTCCATGTACAGAGAAGGAAATGAAACACTCAGTGGGGGGAGGGGGGGTGAAATAACCTGGCTCATGACCATTCCCTTATGTAGCAGCATCGAGATTTGAACCCAGAGGAGACCTAAATGATTTCAAGCTTAACCACTAGCTTGTGAAATGTCAGGAATCATAGTCACATAAAATAGCTGCCAAAGTGCTGCTGAGTTGTGGTCAGGTAGGGAGCCGGCTCCCTTCTCTCTCCACTCCCTGGTGGGTTTCCTTGTTCAATTCGGGGGGGGGGGGGGGCAAAGGATCCCTAGTTAGCTGGGAAGTTTCTGGGCACTGTAGCTCGGGCGCCCTCTTCTGGTCAGTCTATGACACACCAACTAGCCCTCTAGTTTGACTTCATAGCCTTTTTTCATTCATTTGACGTGTATTGAGCACCTAATGTACGCCAGGCACTGTGCTGAGGAGTGGAGGCAAGGCAGTCCTTGCTTTCTATTCGCACATAGAGTTTAAAAGAGAGGATGTTTTAATGCAGATTGTAAACAGTAAAGCAACAAGTGGTGTTTGGTGTTATTTGCAAAATCCTTCCAGTCCACTCTCTCATTTGATTGTCCCTGATGCTTTGCTAAGTTAGGAGGGGCAAAAAGATTATGATCTCATTTAATGGTGAGCTCACAGTCCAAAGGGGAAGGCAGCCCAGCAAGGGCTATACTGGGGGAAGTAATGAGGAACTTCAGAGTACACAGAAGGGGCACCTAAGCCAATTCTGAGGAAGTTAGGGAGGCTTCCCAAAGGAGGTGACATCTAAGCCTGACATCTGAGAATGCTGTGTCCCAGGACCCTGCCTATCTAGTTCACAGGTGTACCCGCCAAAGCCCTGAATTTACTAGCTGAGGCAAAAAGGACAAGAACTGGCCTCTCTCCCTCTCTCCTCACACAAGCATCCAAGACCAGGGGCTTGACCGCAAGGGCTGTTTCAGGGCCACTGCAGAATCAAGCAGCTAGTGGACTCCTTCCCAGTGTCCAGCTGAGGAACAAAAGGCAAAGAAATGAGTCAGGTGGGAGGGTATCTTCTCAATCCTAGCATAGCTGGGAAGGGCATGAGCTAGAGTTTGGCTTCTCTGTGTGACCCTGGGCTAGTCACTTAACCTCTCTGATCTTCAATTTTCAAAAAAGGAGATGGTGGTATTACCACTTCAGAAGATTAAATGAGATATGGCCTAGAAAGAATTTAGCCCATGACAGGCTCAGAGTGCTTACTCAGTAATTGTTGTTGTCAGCACCACCTTTGAAGCCTGTGGGACCCAGGCCATCTGGCATCAGGAAACGCAGCTTCAAACCCTGGAGAGAGTAATCACTTATGCATAATTGAATGCCTCTCTTAGGGAAGCTCAGTTAATCAGCCAGGGCGTGAAGCTTGCACCCTGGAGCCTGCCTGCCCAGACTCCATCTGGGGCTGTGGGCTGAAAAGTCAAGGATGTTTCCTTGAGACAAGTTTTCCGGATAGCTGCACTCAGGCCACAGGCAGAATGTATCAAGGGCCTCCTGAGCCCCGGCATCGTGCTAGGGCCGGGGAAGGGGAGTGCAGAGGTGGGGCCTTTACTTTTGGGGGACTGAGGAGTTCAGTAGGGTGGGGAGATGCAGAAAATGTATCCTGGAGGCGGCCCCCCCCCGAGGAAAATGGAGGTGGAAGAGAGGCAGGAAGTCCTCCCCATGAGGGCGTCGCAGACGCAAGATCCAGCATAGAGGTCATTTTGAATCTCTGTGCGACGGAAGGGAAATCCCTACCCTCTCTTATCCGAGTAAAACATGGTAGAGGTTGCTCCCCACGCCCACTAGTCCCGTCCCTCGGCTGCCCCGCCTCTCCCCGCAGGTGCGCAGCGTGGCCGTGACGCACACCTTCCAGATCGCTAAGGCCCGCGCTCAGCTTGGCTACGTGCCCGACAAGTTCAGCTTCGCAGACGCCGTGGAGCGATACGTGCAGTCGACGGGCCGGGGAACCCGCGGCTCCACAGCGCGAACGCTCCTGCGGCTACTGCTCGGGCTGCTGCTGCTCCTCGGCCTGCTCGTGCTGGCCCTGCACTTCCTAGGCCCGCGGCCGTTCGTCGTCTGACCATCGTCGCCGGCCTGTCCCTGCCCCTGCTTCGCCTTCAGGACTTGCACCAGACCCTGCTCCGTCCTCCGGACTTGGGCGCTCCCTTGAGTCCTGGGCTTGTCCCTGCCCCACCCTCTGGGCTTGGATCTGCCTAGCAGGTCTTCCGCTTGGATATTCCGGCGTTCTAACCCCGCCCCTGTCCCGCCCTCTGGGTTTCGACGTGCCCCTGCCCCGCCTCTTGAGCCCTGGCCACGCCCCTTTCCCTCCCTCCGGCCTTGGTCTCTCTCTGACCCGGCCGGGATGCCTACGAGAAGGTCCTATCTTCACAGCCTGCTCCGCCTTCCAGGCCTTCTCCCCGCCCCTGCCCAGGCCTGGCCCGCCCCCGCGTTCTCCCCTGCTCTAGTCCGCCCCGTTTCTGGCTGTAGCCGAACGCCTGAATCCTCGCCTTGGTTTCTCCTTTGGTAACTAGACTTGCTCATCTCTCTTGGTCGGTCCCTCTCCTCTCCTGTTTGTGATTCAGCCTTAGCCCCATCCCCTCCCGTCTGGCTCCACTCCTAGGGGCCTAGCTGCAGCTGCTCGTGCAGCTGGGCTGACGTTTCCAAGTTTTCGCTGGCTGCTGCTACCTCTGTAGGGACACGGACCCTCCTCGCTGCCCGAGCTTCTCTGTGCTTGTCCTGAGATGTCTCGGGATCTTGGATTAGACCCCTTCTAGGAGCACTGAGTTTGATCAGCTGCTATGCTTATGTTTTGGGTTCGCTCACTCATGCAGGTCTCCCTGTGTGTTGATAGACAGGGTTGGAAGGACACCTGAGACCCAGGCTTCTGCCCAGCCCAACTTGGCCTTTTTGGGTTTCCGGTGCATGAGTCTGGGGATGACTCAGTAAGCACAGACTTCAATACCAGAAGGGACATCAAAAAAGGAAAAGAAAAAAAAAATTTTTTAGGGTGGTCAAAAGATACAAACTTCCAGTTAGTTATAAAGTAAATAAATTATGGGGGTGAAATGTACAGCCTGGTAACTACAGTATTGTATAAATGAAAGTTGCTGAGAGTAGATCTTACGTTTTCATCACAAGAAAAATAATTGGAACTCTGTGTGGTGATGGAATTTAACTAGACATTGTGATCATTTCACAATATATACATATGGCAAATAATTATGTTGTACAGCTGAAACTAATGTAATGTTACATGTCAATTAAGTCTCAAAAAAAAACCTTAAAAAAAATTGGATCTCTCTAAAAAGTACCAATATAGTAATAATGGGAATTATTAGAAATTAGTTGGTCATATTTTTTGTTTTACTATCGCTTCAATTTGTTAGTGAGGGGGCCAGTAGTGATCACCATAATCCTTAATGTTTAAACCACAAAATTTCTTAATCCAGCGCTGCTCTCCACAGAAACAGTGCCTCCCTATCATCTTGGTATCAATTGTGAATACCAAAATATTAGTGTGTAAATACGTCTGTATATATATCATAATATGCACACGTGGAAGTGGCTGATAAAACTATGGATCCTAGCAGAGAAGAAAACCATCACAAGCCTAAAGAAATCTGTGACGGGGTCGGGGGGAGCAAATGTGTTAGGGCCAACGTGGCCATCGCCCGGCGTGGGCATCAGCAGTATGTCCTCTGCTGAACAATTAAGAAAGTTCGTGAAGCAGTTCAAAAATGTGTGCTCCTGTTTGCTATGGTGAATTTGCATGTGTGTACATAATTTTTAAAAGCTCAATAATAATCCTTTATGCTTTGTTTATGCTTTATCCTTTATGTTTAATGCTTGACAGTTTGAAAGAGCTTTCATCTATATGCTCGTACTTAATTCTCAGGCCCACCCTTACATAGGGCTTATTATTCTTATTTTATAAATAAGGAAACTAGGGTTGCCTAACTTCAAAGAGTAGAGGAGGGTGGGGGTCACTTCTCTACAGGCGGGGTAATTTGGAGGACCTGCCCAAGGCCCACTGGCCTAAACACGACACAGGGTTATTTCTGCTTTTCTGCACCTTAGCCACGTCAGGGCTTGGGTTGAGCTCTGGGATCTTTCTCAGTCTCAGATCCACAAACCTCAGGCCATTTGGGGCTTTCTTTCTTCTCAGTAACATGCTTGCGTGTAAACTCACCTTCTCCTCTGACTTTCTCTACCAGCCCTGAGAAATCTGTTCTTAGGGCAGGAAAACAGGTTTTCACTGTTCACATAATTTTCTAGGTCTTTTGTCTACTGCCGAACCTCAGCGTGTGAAACCCGAAAGCAAAACCGATTTCTTTGTTTTCTGGATTTCTCTAAGTCATCTCTTCCCCTGCAAGTAGACTGTCTAAACCCTGGGCATGGGGCCGGCATGGGTCACTATGCCAGAAAGCTTCCTTCCTCTCAAGTGTCTTCACCCAATGGGAAACGAGGTAGCACTTCCACCCAGCAGAGGAACCAAGTGCCCATGAGGGTTTTAGAGGCTGCCCAGATAACCCACCCTCTGTGAGGTTCTTTTTTTTTTTTTCTTGTATACCTTCTCATAGATATTTTATTTTAAATTTTTATTGGAAATAGTTGATTTACAGTGTTGTGTTAGTTGCAGGTGTACAGCAAAGTGAATCAGTTATACATATACATATACCCATGCTTTTTTAGATTCTTTTCCCATATAGATCATTACAGAGTATTGAGTAGTTGCCTGTGTTATACATAGGTCCTTATTAGTTATCCATTTTATATATAGTAGTGTGTATATGTCAATCCCACTCTCCCAATTTATCCCCGCCCTTTCCCTCCTGGTAACCGTAAGTTTGTTTTCTACATCCGTGAAAACTGCAGTAAGTTCATGTGTACATTTTTCAGATTTTTCCACATGTTAGTGATATCATATGATATTTGTCTCTGTCTGACTTAGTTCACTCAGTATGACAATCTCTAGGTCTATCCATGTTGCTGCCAATGGCATTATTTCATTCTTTTTTATGACTGAGTAATATTCAATTGCATATATGTACCATATCTTCTTTATCCATTCCTCTGTCTATGGACATTTAGGTAGTTTCCATGTCCTGGCTATTGTAAATTGTGCTGCAATGAACACTGGGGTGCATGTATCTTTTCAAATTAAGGTTTTCTCCAGATATATGGCCAGGAGTGGGATTGCTGGATCATATGGTAGCTCTATTTTTAGGTTTTTTTGTTTTTTTGTTTTTGCGGTACGCGGGCCTCCCACTGTTGTGGCCTCTCCCGTTGCAGAGCACAGGCTCTGGACGCACAGGCTCAGCGGCCATGGCTCACGGGCCCAGCTGCTCCGCGATATGTGGGATCTTCCCGGACCGGGGCACAGAACCCGTGTGCCCTGTATCGGCAGGCAGACTCTCAACCACTGCGCCACCAGGGAAGCCCTTATTTTTAGTTTTTTAAGGAACCTCCATACTGTTCTCCATAGTGGCTGTACCAATTTACATTCCCACCAACAGTGCAGGAGGGTTCCCTTTTCTCCACACCCTCTCCAGCT